ATATATTATTCAACACCAAACTTCCCTGTTATTATCATTCTCTTTCTCTTTTATTAGGGTTGGTAATTACATATCCTCCTCCTCCTCAAACTCTACCCCAAAAAAGATATCATCTTTGTCACTTTTTTCTTAATCTTTAAAGAAATCAGTGTTTGTTCGGTTATTCTAGATATTTGGAATATTGACCTCAACCCAGCTCCATTTTCAACACTTTTATAAAAGAATTAATGACCTTTTATTTTTATACACGTATAGAGTGAATATTCACCGATATATAAATTTTATATAAATATAACATATAAAATTTATATACAAATAAATCTTTTCAAATGCACTCGTTCAAATCTAAGATAGAAATAGATGGTCAACGATTTAAATAATTCAATGGTTATCTCTTTTTATTAAAAATAAAACGTTTTAAATTCAAATCGTATGATATACGGGTGAGATGAAATAAAAAATGATAAATAATTTTTTTTATTATGTAATTAAAATTAAAAAAATAAAAAAAAATAGAGAGACAATGTCTGTTTCCTGGGACCCCTCCCGTCTGAAAATTGAACTCGATCCCAACGCAGTGGGCACACCGCACACGTATACTGTTTGAATTTTGAAACAAAGGGACAATTTCAAATATCTTCAACCTGAGTTGGCCTAACCTAATGCCCAATAACAAAAAAGGAAAAAAAAAAAGAGAGAAAAAGGTCGTAATAACAAAGGGTCACAATGTGAATTGTTCACAGGACCCACTAACAAAAGTGCTAGCAGGTCCTGAATACACTGAAACTAACTCAATTTCTGGGTAGTGGGGGGTCAATTTTGATCATTTTGTTTTCTTAGAAAGCAAATTACAAAGGAGACCCATTTTCTTCGTTTCTTTTTTCCTTAGGTTTCGAATTTCCATCGTTCTAGTATGTTCTCTATTGCGTTCAAACTTCAAACACATGGCTGAGTAACTTGACTCTCTTTCTTAACCCTCAAATAATTTTAAAAAATATTTATTTAACTGGTGTTTTTAGAGTACA